AGTGCTTAAGATCACCCAATCCCATCCTTTCCAGCCCAGGTGTCCAGGGCTGCCAAGCTCCTGCCCACCCAGGAGACGACCTGTGGAGCCCGCACACTCACCTATCTTCTTGATGTCTTGCTCACAGCCAGCACCAGCCCCTGGCTCAGGTTAGCTCTTCTAGAAAGAAGACTCAATCAGCTATCTCCCAGAAAGAAAGTCTGACCAATGAGAAAGCATCCTGGAAGCCTTGAAAGGGGATAGGAGTGTGAGTGGAAGAAAACTAAACCCTTAGAAAATTGTTGACTCTGGCCAATCGGTGTGTTTCTTTGTTATTACTGCTTTTTCCTTTTTCTGCATTTTACTTCTAATTTTTAGAAAGGAAGGGAACTAGCTCACAAACGACTCAGATATCCAACTGGTCATTTTCTCTCCTCCCAGCCTGCCAGGCCTTTTCTCTGCTCATCCTCCTGCCACCTCTCAGCATTTCCACTGCCTCAGTTTACTTCTTTAGATAACTGTGGGAGAGAGGAGCCTGGCTGTTTCTTGGGTTGCTAGCAAAGGGCTCATTTTGTCTGTGAAAAACAAACGTGTTTCAAAATGTAATCATATAATAAAAAAGACTTCCTCAGCAGAGCATGGTGGTGCACCCCTTTAATCCCAGCACTCAGGAGGCAGAGGCAGGTGGATATCTCTGTAAATTCAGGGCTATCCAGGTCTATATAGCAAGGTCCAGGACAGACAGAGCTATTTACATAATAGAGAGATACTACTTCAAAATCCAAGCTAAAACAAAGAAAAAAACCTTAACAATTTACCCATTTTGCTTGGCTTTTGCTAAGCTTAACTAAAGAAAACTGAAACTATTACACAGTCCTTTTCTTGCCTCTGAGGGTAGACACCCGCAGAAAAGATCCAAGAGCCATGTACTGGTTCTAGGTGGGGGTTGATAATATCAAATGGGGCTCCCAGGAATCTGTCGTTAAAAAAAATTCAGCTTATTGCTCTTTGGGTATTGATAAAAATCACTTCATAGAATCTTTATAAGACTGAAGGGGAAAGGTAAACCTGGGCTGAAACAAGGAGTAGCCCTGGAATGCTGAAGTCTGGCTACTGTGGGAGCTTGGTTAGGACTCGGTAGCAGAGTAAGATCTGTAGACGACACAAGAAGCCTGAGATTTTGAGCCAAAGGGTGAAGAAATCGTGGTTTGTCCGCTGTTTTCTGTTCAAGGATAGATGGATCTTTGAGGAACCTATTGGGTACGAATTGTACTTACAACTTTCTAGTGTCTGGTAGAAGATTCCTGGCACAGAACATTTGTGCTGATGGAAGCAGTGGAGAAGAGTCACGTTAATGAAGTAGCCACCTACGTGAGCGTAGATGTTTCCCCTCCTCAAAAACACCGCACATGTATGAGAAAGCAATCAGTATTTTTCACTTACTCTGTGACACTCGAGAAAGCATCGTGGGACTGGAGAGATGCCACAGTAGCTAAGCAGCTCACCAGCTGCTCTTCCAGAGGGCAGGGATTCAATTTCCAGCACCTCCACAGTGGCTCACAACCATTTGTAACTCCAGTTCATGGGGACCCAGTGTCCTCCTCTGACCAATCCAGGCAATGTATACATGCAGTGCACAAACACACATTCAGGCAAACATGTATACATACAAAAGAAAAATTTAAATCTCAAGAATTATATTTTAAAAAGCTTTGTAACATTTGCTGTCTACAGTGTTCTGATGGAGATCTCATTCGGCATTTTCTCCTCTTCAATCCACTCCACTCCACTCCTCTCCACTCCACTCAAATCATCTCCTATCCTATCCTCTTCTCTGTACTGCAGACAGCACTCTAGTGGGACTGCACTCCTCACTCAGGAACTACAGCCCAGGGATGTACAAGTCAGTCCCATGTGCTATCCACCACCTGAGGCTTTCCTTCCTCCCTCTATTGCCAGTAATCTCTCTGCCCCAGAACCAAAGGCATAACACAGAAGAGTGTTACAGGTCCAGGCTCCAATGGCAACTACCTCTTGCTACCTCTAGTCCCTAAACAGCTGTTTCTTGCCCCCCCTCAGCATCTTCCCTAACATCAAGGTACTAAAAGGTACAGCACTTGGGGATGTATTAATAAAACCCTAGTTATTACCACCTGAAAGAGTAGGAGCATCAGGGCAGCATGTGGGGCATACAGCTAAGGTTTTCCTGCTTTATTGCCATGCATCTACTTAATATTTCCACCAATATATTTGAAAAGTACCCAGATTTCTGACTATCAATACTTCATCAATGTGTTACCACCTTAGAACATGGAATTTGAGGTAACCTAAAGCTATGTTCCCAGAACACAATCATGCATATTTGGCTTCACAATAAATGATACTTTATCCCCTTTGAGGTGGGATTTGTGGTTTTGCACCCACACTAACTTCAGAGCACAACTCTGAGTAATTTTCTTGATTAACTGAGGTGGGACAGTCTGTCCTAAATGTGGGTGCATCATCCCATAGGCTGGGGTCCCGACATAATGAAAAGAAGCATCTAGCTGAGCATCAGTAACCAGCAGCTTTCTGGCTGTAGATGCATGAAATGTTACAAGCTGCCTCACACTTACTCCTGAGGCCTGCCATCTCCACCATGAGGGACTGTGACTAACTGCCTCACACTCCGACTCCTGAGGCCTGCAGTCTCTACCATGAGGGACTGTGGCCTCAAAGTGTGAGTCAAACGAACCCTTTCTTTCTGATGTTGTTTTAGCTAGGTATTTGTCCGGGCAATGAGGCAAGTAACTAATACGCAGACATACGTGAGAAAAATAGTACTTGATTTTTTAACATTTTTCTTCAACCTAAATGAGATCTTCCGTGATCTGCACTATTACAGCTCATGGTGACTTAGAGATGAAACAGATGTTTCAGCTGAAATACAAACTTCAAATTGGTTTAAGTTATGACAGTTTCTTCACAGGGGTCACAGGTTGTACAGAAGGGGATGAACTGGAATCCCATCACCCCCTTCCCCTTTCAGCACCAACCTTGCTTGTGATTGGATGTTCTGAGTAAGCAGACATTTTTTTTTTGCTCCCAACATATCCAACAACAAAAGCTGAGCGTTGTGAGGTAGACACCTATACATATAACTTACAGAAATTATTTTTAACCCCAGAGATGCTGTGAAAAACAGATTCCAGCCAGGTTTTGCTTCTAGGGAAAGGACATCTTGGACAGACGTGGGACGTGATGTCCTCAAGCCCAGAGTTGAAAGTAGAGAGAGAGTTCAAAGGCAGTTGTCAATATCTCTCAAAAGAATTTGCATTTGGGGATTCAAAACTGTGTCCTTCTTACATTGATGTTAAACTTGTGTCTTCCTTTAAGGTGGAGATAGGAAGAGGTGGTAAATTTACATGAAAAATTGTAGGAAAATCAGTGGGTAGTAACTTGAAAACCAAAGGAATTTGTGAAGAGAGATCCAAAGGAAATATGGAAAGATTATCCAACATGAGACATCTCTCCAGCCATGTATGCTTCCTTTCAGACATCCCCTTCCCTGCCCCCAATCTTACCTAATATGAGCTGATGTAGGCAAACTCTGATTGGCCAGCTCCCTGTGTCTCAAGGGGACTGCTGGTGCTTCCTTCCATAATAACACTCCTGGTCCAGGGGAGCCCGTGGGCTGTGTAAATAGGTATACAGGGTAGGTATTGGCTCAGAGGCACTTGATCCTCTGGGGCTGGAAGAGGACAAGTTGAAGGCTCTGCATATATGAGCTAGATATTCCACAAGTCTGAAGGACCCACAGACCACAGGCATGTTTTTATATTTATTTATTTATTTATTTATTTATTTATTTATTTATTTATTTATTTATTTCGAGGCAGGGTTTCACTATGGCTTTGGAGCCTGTCCTGGAACTAGCTCTGTAGACCAGGCTGGTCTCGAACTCACAGAGATCCGCCTGCCTCTGCCTCCCGAGTGCTGGGATTAAAGGCATGCGCCACCACCGCCCGGCTCCACAGACATGTTTTGAGTGGATTTTTGTTCCACTGTGTGCTGGAGGGTACCAGGTGGTGCTCTATTCTACAGCCAACGAATCTTACCCAGACTTCGCATCCTCCCCAGAACTGAGAGAAGAAATTCATCTAAAAGGAGGAGTCTTTCAAATGGAAGCTGTCCTGTTTGCTCACCAGGCTGCAGGTCTTTATACTCTGCTCTGGGTGTAATAGGAGCAAACAAAGCAAAATGAAACAACCCTGAAACAGGCTGTAGTATGCACCAGGGAGGGGGCAGGGACACCTTTGATTTCACGTCTCTTATGTAGAGCAGAACTTGTTGTCAAAACTTGCTTTGGGAAACAGGAGTGTGACTCGCGCCAGTCAAATCAGTATAACAACGTTCAATTTGGTATTTCTTAGACCAACACCCCACACGTGGAATCTCCCTGGGTCGTGAGTGCTCCTTCTCTTGTCCACTGAAGTTACTCTGGTGACCCATAGCAGGACCCTGAATCACATGGAGGATTTCACCCCTGAGAAGATGCAGGACTAAACTGGCTAGGTTTCCTCTCTCAGAAAGCTCCTGATTGCTCCACAGTAGAGCTTGAGGCCAGGTGCAGATTGCACAGGGCAGGGCTTGAGAAGTCCCAAAGGAGGAGCCAGCAGTCTGGAGGAGGACTCCTGTCACAGTTCTTGCAGGGAGCGCTGTACACTTGCTCAAAGGAAATCCTCAACTCTTGGCTGGAGAAAACATGAGACACCAGGTTCTGCAGCTTGTGGAGGGGAGACAAGCAGACCCTGAGAGTATGGAGGAAACCTGTGGGGTTCCAGGCTTCCTATGGGCCAACCTCTGCATGTGCCAGATGTAAGTACATGAACGTCGTGCCTTCTACAACATGCGTGGACAAATGTGTAATTTTTCATCATTTTTAATTTATTTAACATACTAACAACAGTTTCCCCTCCCTCCTCTCCTCTCATTCCCTCCTCCCATCTCCCTTCTTACCCCACATTCCCCCCCCCCATTCCCTTCCTCCTCATTCTCCATCCAGATAGGGTGAGGCCTCCCTTGGGAATCAGCAAAGCCTGGCACATCAAGTTGAGGCAGGACCTAGCTTCTCCCTGCATCAAGGCTTAACAAGTAGTCAGGACTTGTTGCCCCAAGATTCAGCTATTGGTGTTTCAGACCTTCTTCATAGCTGCCTGAGGAGGGTTAGTGACCGCTGAGCCAGAGCAAAGTGCAGACACTCTGGAACATTCTCCTTCTGCCAAATGTTTCATTCCACCTTGCGTGCCACAGGTGGAAAGGAGAGAGATTCTGATTGCCAACGATTCTGAAAACTTGTTAGCAATCATGCATCACTGCCAGTTATGAAGAGAGAAAGTATCCTACCAGTTTAGAATAGAAAATGCCCAAGTTTCTGTAAAAGTGTGTATGAGCCATTAAGTGAGACTAAAGATGGCTTCAACGTTTTAAAAAGCCAGCGAGAACAACAACTTTGGAAATTTATTTGAGTGCTATCATAGACATTTTTCACTGGGGACTAATCTCAGAACCTCACGCATGCTAAGCAAGTGCTCAACCAGTGAGCCACATTTCCAGCTTTGAAGGTCGGAAAAACATAGTATTGCCTTTAAAAACCCAATTCTCTTAAAGAGAGCAAACGGGAACAAATACTCTCCGACCATCAAAACTCTTCACATTTCTACATCCTGTTCAAATACATTTGTATAGGCTTCACTGCGCATTTCAACATCCTGCTGATTTACACAAACATCATCATACCATTGATTATGTTTTTGCTTAATATCAGCAAGGATGGATTCCATCTTTATGCCAACCTCAATAACATTATAAACTCCACTTTCATACTCACAAATGAAGCCAACAGTATGCATGGCTACTAGAGAACCTTTACAATCAAATAGTGGAGATCCAGAAGAGCCATTATAAAAAATATTATAGGTAAAATCATTAGGGTTGACGTTCATTTCTTGGAAACTTCTTTTTGTACACATAGGGAGTAACTTAGAATAATGGCTATGACCTGCTGCTTCTGTTCCATGAACAAATTGCTGACTCTTCTCTCTTTGTTTACCTTGAGTGACCACTGCACAACGATCCAAAACCTTGTTTCCATTTTCATGGCCAATCATGTATATCAGCTCACTGGGAAGTACAACAGCTATTGCGTTATTATACAGCCCGGCAGGCACTTTTTGACCATTTTCCTTCAGTTTTAGGACAGCATAGTCAAGCCTTTTATCAGATATGTCAAGCCAAGGTTCAATGCGAAAGCAACTGTTGAAGTTTGAGGTTGGCTCTTCACAGTATTCATCATCAAATATCACCCTTACACATTGGCTAATTAGGTCTAGACACATACTTAGCTCTCTTCCTTTTCCCACAATGTCATTTAATACATGTCGACAAGTGAAAATGTACAACCCTCTGAAAACAAAGCAAGTGGCTCTACCCCTGTTCCCATTATTGTCCCAAACTATGAGCCCAGTGGAAGCCTTGAAGAGTGAAAGAAGTTTGAGCATTTCAACTGGAGTAGAGCTTTTTGCCACTTCACTGAACTTCTTCTTATGGGCTTTGAAAAGCGACTCTTCTTTACTATTCTCACTCTCTTCCTTGATACATGCTCTCACTTTCTCACATTCTGCTGCCCAAGGGCTCTCCTTTCTCTCAACATCAATCTGAAAGAGCTTACCCTCTAACACATCTACTGGCTGGCTGTTTGCTACGACGGTGTCATTGTTAATGAGTTTCCAATGGTCACTCTCTACAAAGGAGCGAAACCTGCCATCCTTCCTCAGAGTGGTCTTGATGGTCTCTCCCTTGAAACCATAGACACAGAGTTTGATACCATCCTAGTGAAGATCCCTGCACCTAAAAATTCTTTGCTCCCAATTCCCGACTGCATGAATGTAAAACACAACGCACTCAGCAGATGACTGGTCAAAGCGGCCACACACTTCATTATTTTCTTTCTCCTCACTTTCAGTTTTGAAAAATGTAATGTCTACATGGCTGTCTTGTGGAAAACAACGGAGGGGCATACCGAGGTTTATGTACCCTTCTATTCCTTCTTTGCCACACACCAGCATTTCTTTGCCTGGCTGTTTTTCTATCTCTCTTTTGACAAGGTCAAGGGTGTTCAGTGCCTCATATAAGCTACCTGTCTCCCTATAGGTGAGATCGCAGGGGTTTTTCTTGGGGTTTCCCACCACGGAGATCTTGATTGTTTTAGTTGGGAGAGTGTTCTGATCTTGTCGAGTTTTCTTAGAAGAATAGAGTCTTTGCTCTTGGTTGTTAGATGTCTCATTTGGTCTTTTTCGGGATCCCATTTGCATTTGTGAATTCTTAGGATTCTTTTGCTCTTCTTGAGGGATCTAGAAAGAAATGATAGATACTTTAAAATTTGGATTCTAACTCTAATCCTTAGTTTACCTCATTAATATGCAAATCAAAGATTCAATGAATATGTTTAAATCAGGACTTAACTCAAGATCCAATTAACAAGCCCAGCCCCTCTAACTTATCTTTCAGATCATCTCTTCCTATTGCACACGACTTCTTTCCCCCAAAAATGGACAGTAAGAAACACAATTGTTTCCCAGATGTTTCACTACCAGATTCCATAAAACCTTTTCAAGTATTTTGTGTTATTTTCAGCAATGCAGCTTTTATCTTTTCCAAATGTAGGAAATGATGGAATATAAATTGGAATTTGTTCATATTTGTTGTTGTTTTAGTAAGACATTTTATTTGTATTTTTAATTATATGTCTCTATATATGTTACTATGTGGGCTTGTGCATGTTAATGCCGTGCCTGCAGAGACCAGAAGAGGGCATCATATCCCATGGAGCTACAGTTCCAACCAGTTCTAGCCTCACCATGTCAGGGTTGGTCAATGAGTTCTAGTTCTCCTTAAGAGCAGTCCATTCGTTTAAAAAGTAAGCCTTCTGTCGAACCACTTATTGCAGTTTCTCTGAGACAGATTTCGCTCTGCAGTTGAGCCTACTCTGGAATAAAATATCTAGCCCAGGCTGGCCTCAAACTCACAATTTTTCATTCCTTCTTCTCTCTGTGCTCGGAAACCAGGAATGCATTACCATGCCCAGCTTTAATGAATTCCTTAAAGAAATTTAGCAGGGATATGGCATGTGATTTATTTTTTATTTTCTATTTTATTTTCTTTGTGCTTGCATCTGTTTGTGGAGTTTGGGTGTGTATGTTTTTGGGTAGTCCTATGTGTGTGGGCACATGTTTCCACAGTATATGGAGATAAGAGGCAAAAGCTGGGTGTCTTCTTTGATCGTTCTACTCTTTATATATTGAGTCTGAGTAATTTTCTGATTAAACCAATCTAGCTAGTCAACATGCTCCAGGGCTCCCCTACCCTTCCTCTCGTATGCTGGATTTACAGCTGGGCTACCATTCCCATTCAATCTATATGGAACCCGGGGATTCTGACTCTGCCCCACACACTTCTATGGCCAACGCTTTACATAGGAAGCCATCTGTCTAAGTGCTATTTAATGGTTTATTTATTATGCAGTAATGAAAGCTAAACAACTTGATCATTACTTAACTTAATTACATACTCGTTAAAAATTAATACATGAATTCACCCATCACTACTACTGTGCAAAAAACTCAACGTATTTCCTTTATTACATAAATTCACAAATCCTATGCATGGCCTTTCTTTCTTTTTGGGGGAGAAATTGAGGATCATAAGTTTATCTTCTAAGTGTGTTTCCTAATGTCACATACTAACCAATCTAAACTGTAAATACTCTAATGTGTCTTCCCATTAGGCTACTCGTGATATTTGTAAACTTTGTACCCATATCTTCTATTCTTATAAGCTACTATCTTAAGATTGAAGGAAGAAGAATGAAGGGAGAACCAAGGATAATAATCAAATAGCAAAAGTGAACAAAAATAAAAGCCTTTTATCCCTATGGTCCTACATCACATTTATCTTGGCAAGGGTTCACTTGCCAGCAGTATACTCACTGGTACAGAGGGAGCAGTAGTGGGGTATTGTAAAAATCAAGCCTGTCGTCATCTGTCATACCTGTCATTCTACTTTAAACATATAAAAGAATGGTCCTGTAGGCATGATCTACATGATCTCAGAAACCAGTTCTTCAGCCTAAATGCTGTGAGAAATACCTGTGCACTACCTCGTGGAGATGCTGTGGCAGACTTCCTTCTATGCAGGTTTCTTGGACAAATGTAGATACTTTGTCAATTTTTTGGGTCTGTGTTGTACACTTGAGACACTGTAACCCAGGCTGGCCTGGAACTTGCAGTCCTCTGCCTCTGTTTTCAGAGTGCTGGGATTACAGGTGTGAGGCACTTTGCCTGTTTGGCATATTTGAAAAAGAAAGAGAGGTACTATGTGTGGTTCCTTACTTGCTCTGTCATAGAGTAGGATAGAGAAAAAATAGACCTAGAAACAAAAGCCTCATGTTTTGAATCATCAACCTTTCTAGAACTTGAACAAGAGGAAACAAGCTGAAGGACTGGCCTTCTCAGCCTTTTATTATCATTCCCTTCTTGACATACTGAAATTGGAGGTGGAATCCCCTTCACCCACTTAATAAAGGTAGGGTAAGGACAGACATACGGAAAATCATGTTTATAAACTGGAAAACACTATGTAAATGGAGATTGCTAGGATTCAGAAGATTAGCCACAACTCAGGGTAAGATTTTCATGTTCTTAAGTACTATTACTTTTGTGATTTCTACAGTTTAATCTAACACGTTGACTATGACCTTGCAAAAATTTTTGTTTCAAGGATTTGAGGAGACAGCTCGTGGTTAAGAGCTCACACTGCTCTTTTGGAGGACCCAGGTTTGGTTGCCAGCACCCACATAGCAGCTCACAACTGTCTGTAACTCTAGCTCTAGGGGATTAGATGCCATCTTCCAGCTTCTGTAACCACACACAATTTAGTGTATGCAATACTTCCAATACTAATGAGTCCTTGTCTTAGCAGGAAGATTATGTGGCCTAGGATCTAGGGTTCTATAGTCTACTCTGAAGACATCCCACAAATCTACAAATGTTTATACACATACCGGAGACGAACGGTACTTGATTGTCATGTTGTTCCTTAAATCGGGAAGGACCTTCTGTGACCCTTGCTTGCTATAGCTCATGGTGGCTTGGAAATGAAACAGATGCTTCAACTGAAATGGAAATTTCAAAATTACATATTACAGTAGTGTCTTCATAGCGTACTCAGGAAATAAAATGACCAAAGTCCCAAATCATATCTTTCCTGTTCAGGTTTCATGTGCCAGGATGGTGTTAGCAAGCAGATAGTTTATCCACCAAGCATAATGAACCGACTAGTAAAAACAAATCACCATATATCAGGCATTATAAGAAACTATTGGAATCTTAACAGAAATTGTCTCTAATGGCTGGCCAACAGAACTACCATGGAAAACAAGATCCATTTGGATGGTTTTGTTTGCCTGTTCAGACAGAGTATCTTGGAAAAAAAATAGTGAAGTGCCCAAGGCCACATCCTGAATCAGAGAGGACATTAATGTTGGTAACAATACTCCACAAAGAAATTTCCAGTTGGGAAAATAAATAGTGTGTTCTACTAACAGAGATGCTAAAGCTAACCTTTGAATGTATATGAGCGTATATTGTTAGTTGTGAGTATGTTTTCAGGGCTGACCATTTGCTTTCGGATAACCAACTGGGATGCTCTTTCATGGGAAAGACTTTCTCCCGTTCTTAGTATTCCAAGAATTTGAAATGAGGGCAACCTGAAGTGTGTGTGTGTGTGTGTATGAGAGAGAGAGAGAGATAGAGAGAGAGAGAGAGAGGATTGAAAGGAAGAAAAAGAAGGGGAAATGATGTATTTATATTATAATCTAAAAAGGTAATAATTATGTAAGGAAGTCTGATCTTCACTGAAGATAGAGATGCAAAGTGATAACAGAGTCTAGGGACCTGGGAAAGGGAAAACTGGATAGCACCCTGAACATAAACGAAATTTAGCAAGAGTTATAAATATTCTGAAAAGATGCAGGCAAAATGAAATTTAGAAAGTGTACTGCTTTCTTTTTCTTTTTTGTTTGTTTGTTAATTCAGAGACGGGGTTTCTCTATGTAGCCTGGGCTGTTCTGGAACTCACTCTATAGACAGGCTGATCTCGAACTTAGAAAACCACCTACCTCTACCTCCCAAGTGCTGGAATTAAAGACGTGTGCCATTTGCTTTAAATAGGTTTCCCCCCCAACTATTTTCCTTTGCTGTGGCCTCCCAAAATAAGGAACAATTGAAATAAAACATTGGCTATTTTCTTTCCCTTGCCAACCTGGAAGGCCTTTCTTAACACACCTACCCACCCAAGCACTCCTCAATTATTCAGGAAGAATGATGTCCTAGGCTCTCTGGGAGAGATGCTCTCAGAAGGGAGCATCCCACTCTATGGTCAGCTTCACAGCACACACAGCCAGCCTGAGTATCAGATTCCCAAGAGCCCAGGTCTGCACTCTGTGGACTTGTTTGACTCAAGGACAAAACCAAACAAACAAAAATAAAAAGGATAGGCACAAGCTACAATGTTTCTGCTTATAGGTAGATTATATAATTGCAAAGGTTCCTTTAATGTTATCTTTGCCAGTAGAAACATAAATATCAACAAACCACAGCAGAAGCAAAATGACTCATATAACCTCTGCTTTCTTACCTCCGGGACTGAGAGTGGCCACAAAGGTTGAAGTGAGGTTTCTATAGCACACACGGGTACTGTGGAGTTGACTTTTTAGGTCCTTGAGGTTGGGCTCCCAGAATCCTGGTGATAAAACAAACCTCGGATTACTGCTCTTGGGGTAATGAGAGCAATCACTTCACACAGTGGTAGCAGTACTGAGAGAGAAGAACATGGTTAGGCTGAGAAAGTGTGAAGCACTGTGGGACTTTGAAGTTTTGTTTAACTCCGGCTTTAATTGGGGGATTGGTTAGGACTGGGCAACAGAAACGGATTGGTGGCTATATCAAACCTAGGATTTAGAGGTCAGGATTAAAAACTTGTGATGCAAATTGTTTTATGATATCGTCTATGAAGAGTGACTGGTAGTAGAATTAATAACAATTACATTATCAACTTTGTAGTCCCCTGGCAGAACAGTCCCCAGCATTAATGATGATTTAAAGAGCAGCAGAATAAGTCAGATGATTGGAGTAGACTGCTATGCAAGAACCGATGGCTTCACTCTATCAACTGGGCATGCTTAAGAACGAGATCGGCTTTTGCCGCTTATGTCTTGTTTCCTTGTTCTAGGAAGAGGCCCACTCAAGAAGATATATTTGTGAATATTTACTACACACACATTTAGATCCTGAGAGATTTGTTTTAGGTTTCTTAAAGTGAGCCACCAGGTTTACAGAGGGCAGGTTTTACACCACAGTGTGCTCTCCCAATAGCAGTACACAAGTGGGGCCTAGCTCTCTGCTCTCTTCTCGAACCGTCTCCCTGACGCCCATCTGAAGGAGGCTTTTCTGCATTATTCCACCGCAAATAAATCCTCCAAGTCAGCCCCCAAAGTAAGAGTAACTCACCTAAGAAAGCTTTCTCTCCAAGCGGCACAGTTACTGGTCTGTGCTTCCGTCTAGGACTGCGAAGATGTCTGCCCCAGTGGATCAGGCCGGGCAAAGCGCGCGAAAATATTGCAGGCAGAGAGGGTTTAGCCAGCTCTCATTGGCTGCCTGTGCTGATAGCGGGAAGGGTGACGCTACCACTATAGGCAACACAGCACTCCGGGCCCCAGAGCAGCCTACTTCCTGTCAGAAGACTGAGAGTTGCAGCCAGGCTGTGGCTGAGGAGAACTGCCCTTTCCTCTGTAAGATTCTACTTTATTCGTATTTGCACATCCCCTGCTGTGGGTAGAGGGCCTGAAGCTGATCTGACCAGCGAGCTAAGGGGAGGAACCAGGGTGCCAGGGTTCCTGCCCCAGCACAACCTAGGTAGGCAAGGTGCCCCGGGCAGGAACATGGTCCGCGGGAGTCCTCGGGAACTGGGTCCTACAAGGACACCTGCTGCGGAGAAGATAATCACTGTTGCCAGGGATGTGAGTGAGTTCCAGGAAGGAGAGAGCCACAGCCCCTGCAGGTGGCAGGCTAAGGCTTTGAGAATCAGGAAGAAGCTACAGGTGCCTTCAGAGCAAATTCACTTATCATGAATCTGTTTCCCAAAGGATCCCGAGTGCCTGCTGATGTTGTCAGTCCTCATGAGGAGCATGGTGTCCACTTCAGAAACACAGGTCACAAACATGCTGCTAAGCATTTGCCATGTATTAGTATCAACTAAGACATGATAGAAATACAAAAATACACCACTGTATAGAAAGAAACTTGGTATGAAAACATGGGATATCCAAACACATGTAGTTACTCCGTGTTGAAATCATAATGTTTTGCAACTGAGTTAAATAAATTATAGTACAGAAAGACTCAGAAGAATGAAAGGGGAAGGGAGGAGGAAGCTTCTCCTCTTTGCTCCTACACTACTGCGCTGAGTTCCCTTCTTACTTTCATTCGTTTTAGTTTTTGAGAATTATGTAATTACACCATTTCTCTTTCTCTTCTGTCCTTCTAACATTTCCCATGTACCCCACCATGACCACCTTGTCCTCTTTCATACTAAAGTGCGTGTGTGTTTGTGTGTCCGTGTGTGTGTTCGTGTGTTCGTGTGTGTGTGTGTGTGTGTGTGTGTGTGTGTAGAATTTTTTCAGTTTAAATCATGGTATGTCTATTTTTAAGGCTGATCATTTGGTATTGGTGTCTCTTTCATAAAGAACCATGTGTATACTGAGACGGTCCAACTAGCTGTTAACTGTCAAGTCCAGGTTGATAAAACACAAAATGAAGAATCCTGTGCAGGAAGGATGCACAGAGAAAATCAACTACTTTAGAGTCAGCCTTTGGTTTTCAAAGCCCCGAATGCGATGGGAAGAATGTGGCAACAAGTGGGTGACTTTCTTACCTGCCAATTATGGGCTAGTAGATGCTGAGCTGAGAGAAATGAGCAGAAAACCTGGAGCATTCTACTACCAGTAGAAGCTGGTGCCATAGATGATATAAAAGGAAGAAAATTTAGATGACCAAAGGACTTTGAAACCTTGTCAGAGTGTAAGACACTTTCGGCCAGTTATGAAGATGCAGCATCCCAAGCGTTTAGAACAGCAAATCAAGAGGTTTTGAAAGGTACGTTGTTCGTGAGCTGAGCATTTTCAGTAAGGATTAAGATGTTTCTAATTTAAAAAGCCAATGAGGAAAAATCTTAACTATTGACTTGAATGCTAATATGTATTTTTCACTGGAGGTTAATCTACAAGACTTGGTGTATGCTAGGTAGATGGTTTACGGCTGAATCACATTCCCACCCCACTTTTAATTTCTGATTTTGGGGCAGAATTTCACGGTTGGCCTTTAGCATACTCTGGAGCCCCGGCTGTCTTGGCACTTGTGATTCTCACTCATTAGCCTCTGGAGTCGCCGATTACCAACTTGTGGTAACAAGTCCACTTGTCAATATCTTTTCCTTTTTAGCACTCCCTAGATCAGTTTGAAATATCTGAAATGAAATCCACTTGTTAGTTTTCTAATTACTGTGACTATCTTTTGTGTGTTCTTTCAACAAGTTAACTAACCTCTTATTTTTTTCTATTTAATATTGTAAAGAATAGAATACGTAGACTATCAAAAGTCAGTAAAGACATGAAGTCTATATTGGCATTTATAAAAGTATCCGATCATATGTCAGCAGGAAGCGTTCCATATTCCTTCATTGGAGAACATGAATACACACTATATTAAGAAGTTTTATATAGAAGTGTGCACACTGCAAGCCAGCCATTTCAGAGGCAGCCTCAGGTTTATATACCCTTGAGTTGTTGTATCTATAAACAACATTGATCGTATTAGAATGATTCTCTACATCTTCTGAAAGTGTTACTTCATCTAAATGGTTCTACCCCATCTGCAAGTACAGTGTTCTCTAATTAGATGGAGCTTTCATTTAAGGGAAACATGCCTCGATGTTTTTCATTATTGTTCAGATTTGAATCCCAAACTTCAAGGGACACTTCATGCTTGTTGACATCATTTCTGCTGGGTATCTGGAGAAAAAAAAAGGGGGGGGGAATTGTGAGAAAGCGTTGTTAGTTTGTTCTCTACTGCCAGCTGTACAGAAATTTCCAGCATGTAACCCAGATCTGGCAAAGTGAAGAATCAATGCAATTGCTGGTGTGTAGTGTCTGCTCTCAACATGCCCACACCATCACGTTCAGTCCTTCTGACTTCTGTAGGTTCTTAGACACATCATAGCTGCCTGCCCTCAGCAAAGTATTCTCTCTGACCCATTGGTATGATTGTCAGATTGTTTCCTGATCACACATCCATCTTCTTTCAAAGAAAGGGTTGGACTCTGAGTTTCACATATATGAAGACTAAATCCCATTTTAAGTATCTATGATAGTGCACATCCTATCATGAATATATTATATTCTTTTGTAAGTTATAATTAAGACTTTTAAGTCATGCTATGTACACAGATTGGTAATTTTTCAAAATCTGAATTCAAAATTTCGGTTATTCTTTAACACTCAGAGAAGAACTTATGACAAACACCATGGGAAATTGAATGAATATTTTGGAAAGAATGATTGCAGAAATGAGAACTGAGCAAAAGGCCACACTGAAAGCCTTTGGATGTAAGTTTGGGTGGAAGTAAACATGGATCGAGGCAGGAACTAGAAAGGGGCTCTTGAGACAGAAGGGACAGAAAAGATCTGCAAAAGCTTTGAGGAGATGGTCAAGAAGATCAACGGAAAACATGGCATCAAAGAAGAAGGAGGAATTCTGGGAGTAGGATGGAGACCGGGTAAGATGGGTGGAGAGAGGAGTGGATGGTAGGCAGAATAAACCAAAACTTCATGACATGAAAATGTCATGAAGAAATTTGGTTTTCATAAATTAAACGAATAAATACAGCCTTTAGAGAGCTGAGTATGAAGTCCTTGGTAGAATGCTTACCTAGCATGCTTTGAATTTGGTTCCTGGCCCCCTTGTGCACCTGATGTAATGGTATATTCCTGTAATCCCAGCACTTGGCAGAGGGAGGCAAGTGGGTCAGAACTTCAAGGACTTGTGAGAGGAGCAGGAGTTCCAGGGTGGGAGAAATGTTTCAGTCCATAAAGTGTTCACTGCATGAGCATTAACACCAGAATTGGATAATTAGTAAACAGAAAATTCCAGTTGATCCCTATGTTGCCTGTAATTCTACTACAGAGGAGGACAATCCTAGGGCTTGCTGGACAGTCAGCCTGGCCAAATCAGTAATCTGCAGGTCCTGGGAGAGAAACTGTCTCAAAAACTAAGGCAAAGAATGAATGTATGAGAGGCCTGATGTTGGTTTACGGCTTTTGCACACTCACAACACATCTTGTTTGCCCACATAGACATATAGACATATATGCTCAATGATATACCTAGGCACAAACCAAAGATATACACACATACCACACAGACACAGGTACTCTTGCACAAATGCAAAGACAAAGACAAATCAAGGTTAACCTTAGCTATATAAATATGTACATATATATGATAGATAGATAGATAGATAGATAGATAGATAGATAGATAGATAGAAAGATAGATAGATAGAAGTTAGCCTGTAATACCTGAAATCTAGTCTCAAAATATAGACTCGTTAATAAAATGAATCAAGAGAAAGTACAAATGTCTTCAGGTCACTTGGAATTTCTAGATAGAACACAAGCATCAGTGGAAACATGGGAGTTTATTGTAGAAAAGAAATGAAAATTTCATACCTGTGCCCAATTTATTATGGAACTCTTAGGCAGGCTTTTCTGTGATGACATCATTATTTTAAAGAGGACACTTGAAAAGTCACCCATTTCAGAGTGACAAAAACACTGACTGTTGGATCTTTTTTAGAGCATTACTTGTGGGACAATTCACAAATGGTTTGGCATCAGTGGTTAGTGAAGTTGGAAGATACATTATAATCTCTATCACTAACATGTTGAAATCAACTTGTGATTATGTATATGTGTGTATGTAACACATGAAGGCTCCTTATCTATAAGCAGTAGTATTGCTACTGCCTGACATGGCCAAGAACTATTTCCCCCACATTCCTATATTTTCTGGGCTAACATTTGCCAATGAATAACATGTATGGGCATCTTGGAAGGTGGAAACCTAGTGGTGAGCATTCTTACTCTGAAGGTCATGGACATTAGACAGGGCATTGCAATATCTTACTTCTAAGTAATGTAGTTGTGATCTCTCCATAAATGGCCAGTGTCATGGTAGGAAGTCAGAGCAACTCCTTAGACATGTCCACTTCTGTGAGGACTTTCCTCCCTCTTCTGCAGGTTTAGGCTGACACTCTCGAGCTAGAGTTTAGAAATATCTTCTATTTTTCTCCTCCTCAAAGAGCCCCTACTTCCTACACTATCTATAGCAGCTCTATTACGTCGCAACTCACCCCAAACATATAAAATAACCTAATAATCAGTGAAGAATTCCGGACATCCCAGCTAAGATACTTAAGTCCAAATCAATCACGCAAACCACAACCTGGAAGTTAATAATATGAGACTTAGGGAGGGGTTTGGAATAGTATGTCTCTTATTTAGAATAGGAAATTCAAAATTGTAGGTACTTTGAAAGGAAGTTTGGAAGACTTTTGCAAAGCTAAGTATTGTTTTAGAATTTAATCCATCAATTACTTCTGTTAATTGGTATTTACTCAATAGTATTGATATATTTCATCAAAACCACAAAAACACGGAAGCCTTTAGCGTTTTTATTAATAATCACAGCACCTGAGAAAGCAACTGTGAAATTGTTAAAAGGTGAATACATGTGTAAAACCGTGGTAATCCACCCAGCATTAACAAACAGCAAATAGAAATGATATCGCAAAGCACAAGATACAGAAGAAACTTTAATGGCATCTGAGTCAGTTCCAACAGGTTGCATAGGATATGATTCTGTGTAATATGACATTCTGGAATAGATGAAATTGTGAGCACCATAAATCTACGATTCACTTTGGTTCAGAGGGGAGAAATGAGACAAAGACACAAATCACAGGCTTTTAGGGCAGCCAAACTTCTGTATGGCAGCTTAAGGACCAATATATGACTTTATACACTTGCTAAATCCAGTAGAAATTTACAGTTCACAGTGAACCTTAAGGTATGCATACTTAAAAATCATTTATGAAATCAGTACCTCAAAGGAAAGAATGTATGTGTGCTCTGATAAGTTAATTTAGTAACGTTCAATTAATTGTGCTCTAAATATATGAAGAATCTCCCTTATTGGGAAGAGAACCTGACTCAAGCATGCTTAGAGCCCCGATTCAAGCATGTTTAGAAAGAAATGGCATGTATAAGATTAAAAGCAGAAGATATTTGAGCTGTAAATGTGGGCCAGTCGTTAAGAGCACCGCCTGCTCTTCCAAAGGACCTCGGTTCAATTCCCAGGACCTACATGACAGCTCACAACTGTCTGTAACTCCAGTGCTAGAAGATATGATGTCCTGTTTTGGCTTTTATGAACACCAGGTACACATGTGGTATATAGACATATGTTCAGACAAAATACCATACACATAAAAACAAAAGAAAAGCCAAACAAACAAGCAAAACCAGCCTAAACACATCCTCTCGTTAATGTGTTATTTCTCATTCACATACAAATTAACACACATGTGTATTTACTACTGTTCTGTGTCCATGTATCAGCAGCATTCATGGACATGTAGATGTATCTGTGTTTCAGAGACTTTCACTGTACTTCCAGAATGCATGTATTGAAATATTTGCCGTGTACTACATCTCTGTACACATTAACCAATGGAGATACACTACATCAAGACACAGCCTGTGTCACCAGATACCAGTGTGACTAAGCCATGAAAATAGCAGGTAAGGAGTTGAGCATTTGGGCAAACTGCAGAAATAAACATTTCTACGGTCTAAGAAGGTGGTGTGCTGGCTAGTGTTTGGTCATCTTGACACAAGCTAGAGTCACAAAGAAAGAGGGAAGCTCAACTGAGAAAACATCCCCACTAGTTTGGCATGTAGGCAAGCTTGTGGTGCCATTTCTTAATTAGCTGTTGATACGAGAAGACCCAGGCCACTGCAGGACATGCCACCCTTGGACAAGTAGTCAGGGTTCTAGAAGAAAGCTAACCAAGCAGGCCTTGAGAGTAAGCCCGTCAGCAACATTCATTCCTGGCTTTTGCTTCAGTTCCCACCTCCAGGTTCCTGCCTCAACTTTCCTGAGCAGTGGGTTACAAGGTGTAAGTTAAAATAAACCCTTTCATCTCCAAGTTGGTTTTGCTCATGGTGTTTTGTCACAGCAATAGAAACCCTAACTAAGACAGTTATTGATACTAAGTAAACCCAGGTATCGGTCAGAAATAGAATTAGTTGATCTCTGCCCCAATATTAACTGTGGAGCTATGGAAAATTGATGGCTTCTAGGGGACTAGGAGTCAGTTTTCTTTAAGGGCGTGGTTTTTGGTAGGTAGACCACACTCCAATGGGTGGCCCCACATTTAGAAGTATATGGACAGAGCATATGGGAAACATGAAAGGAGAAGAGACATAGAACTGGGTAGGGAAAAAGGTGGGGGTGGATCTGCAACAAGTAGGAATGAATATGGTTAAAATACACTGCATGGAATTCTCAAAGAATTGATAAAAATGATCTAAAACAAACCAATGACTCACCATTTTATTGTCAGTTGTTGCCTCTGACATTTTCCCTATGAAGGTGAACACTTGAAGCAATTGATAGTTGCTGTAAGCAATTGATGGTTGGAGAGAGCTTTGTTGGCTAATCAGCTAGGGTAGTACATAACTAAGCAGAATATTACTATTGATGAAGTTTACTCTGAAAGTTGAATGTCTGGGTGTTAGAATTATTTCCCATTCTGTTTCTGTGATACAAAAAAGCTGTAACATGAATAATAAAAACCCAAAGATAGATATTGGGGTCCAAGCTGAAGATCTGAAAAGCAAAACAGCCAAGCCTCTAGAGAAGTCTTACCTCTACCAAGGCTGGATGACTACAGACTGAGCCCTGAGTCCCTTAGTACTAGGATTAAACATTTGAGCAACCACCATCTGGATTTTTTTCTGCACTGATGATCCTGTATAGCCCAGGTTGGCCTTGAACTCACAGATATCCATTTGCCTCTATCTCCCAAATCCTGGGATTAAAGGTGTGTGACGTGACTGCCTGACCTCTAGTGGTTTAGTTTTACCCTCTGATCTTCAGGTAGGCTTTATTTATTAAAGCATAAATAAAATATCATTATAAAAACAAGTAAACAACAACAAAACAAGCAAAACTGTGAGACCAAAAACAGTTTAGGGAATAATTTTCAGCTTCATATGGAAAACAACAGCAACCAAAAAAAAAAAAAAGGCAAACAAAACAAACACCTCAGGATAGCTATAACACTTGTGAATGATAAAAGAACTTCTGGAGACATCACCATGCCTGACCTCAGCCTGTGCTGGAGAGCTATAGTAATAAACATTGCATGGTATTGGCATTAAAATGGACATGGTGATCAATGAATAGAATTGAAGACTTAGACATAACTCCACACACCTCTGAGAACCTGGGTTTTGTTAAATAAGTTGGAAGTACACACTGGAGAAAGACAGCGTTGTCAACAAATACTGCTAGTCATATTGGATATCTCTATGTAGAAGAATGCAAAGAGATCCATATTTATCACTCTGAAAAAAGCTCAACTTCAAATGGATCAACCATTTCAACATAAAGTCATAGACCCCAAGATTAATAGAAAAAGAAGTGGGGGATACCCTTGTGCTCATTGACATAGGAAAGATTTCCTGTTCAGGACATTGATAGCACAGGCACTAAGAAAAATAATTAATAAATGGGACCTTATTAAAAGTAAAAGCTTTTATATGGCAAAGAACACCATCATTTAGACAAAGTTGTAAGAGAACGCTTATTTGTCCCCAGCTGCTAAGCTCCAAAATAACCACACAGAAGCTGTATTAAATCACTGCTTGTCCCATTAGCTCTAGCTTTCTATTAGCTAACTCTTACATCTTAATTTAACCTATTTCTATTAGTCTGTGTACCGCCATGTGGTTGTGGCTTACAGGCAAGTTTCCTATGCATGTCTGTTCCCAGCGGCAGGTTCATGGTGTCTCCTTGACTCCAACTTCTTTCTCCCAGCATTCAGTTTAGTTTACCCTGACTACCTCTATTCTACCCTGCCAGGCCCAAGACAGATTCTTTATTACCTGATCATATTCACAGCATACAGTGGGGAATTCCACATCACAAAGTGGCGGACTACAGAATGGGAAACGATTTTACCAACTATATCCAATTGTGTGGTAAATACACACATGCACACACACAGATTAAAAACTAAAAGGGCATGTTTATGTTTATCAAGAAAGCAGATAAGCCATTTAAATGGAGTAAAAATCTAAATGGAGAATTCTCAAAAGACGACATACAATTGGCCAATAGTCATCAAGTATATGCAAATCAAAATTCTTTGAGATGTCATCTTACATCAGTCAGAATGGCCAAGATCGATAAAATAAGAGATAGCGCATACTGAAGGTGTGATATAAGGGAAGCATTCATACACTGCTGGTGGGAGTGCAAACTTGTACAGGCACTAAGGAAAAACAGTGTGGAGGATCCTCAGGAAGCTGGGAATAGGTCTACCTCAGGATCTAGCTATACCACTCCTGGGAATATACCTAGAGGATTCTGATTCCTACTACAGAAACACTGATCAACCACGTTCAGCTGGAAACAGCCTAGATGTCTATCAGCAGTTAAGTGGAAGAAGAAAATGGAATATTACTAAGTAGTTAAAAAGACCCTCAAATGGGGTAGAGATGACATTGTTCTGGGCGATCAGAAATCAGAGTGTCATATCCACATTTTGTTCAATTTTCTGTAGTTGTGGTCTTTCAGAATAAAAAAATTAAAGCTATCTATCATAACATTAAAACAAGAATAAAACTGCTATGATACTTGATGGTAACAAAAAAAGAAAAGAAAAGGACCCTCAAATGATAAAATTTGCAGGGAAGTGAACAGAGCTAGAACAAAATCATCCTCAGATAGGTAAATCTGACCCAGGCTGACAAATATGGTATGTTATTTGCTTATAGGTTGGTGTTAGCAGTTTTATATTTTTTACATTATTTCTTTGCGTGTGAATGTATGTGTTTTTGTGTTTCTTTTCCTTTGGCTCTCTTTTCTGTTTCTTGGTTCCAATCCTGTTTTGTTGTTATTGTTGTTGTTGTTTCATTTATCTTTTTAGATGCCTGCTTGTTTTCTTTTTTTTTCTTTTAAACACTGCCTGGCCCATTATCTGTAGCCCCTTATTGGCTAATTCTCACATCTTGCTTCAAGCCATATTTAGTAATCTGTGTAGCACCACAAGGTGGTGGCTTAGCAGGAAAGATTCAGCATGTCTGACATGGCAGCTGGCTCCATGGCGTCTGACTCACTTCCTTTCTTCCCAGCATTCTGGTCTGTCTACTCCACACACCTATGTTCTGACCTATCAGGCCAAGCAGTTTCTTTATTAATTAACCAATGAAAGCCAGAGATAAACTGATGACCCTCCTCCATCATTCTTGCCTAGTTTTGCTTGTACAAAGGAATTAATATCCTAAATTGGCCTGTCTTTTCTAACTGCTTATTTTGAAATAACTTTATGTTGCCAGAATTATGAAACTAGTACAGGAGTTCTTTATGGTTAGTATGTCATCTCCCCATATTAAAATTTACATGACAAACAGTTTACAGAAGACATTAACCATTACATAATTTAAAATAGAATGATTAATTTTAACCTTTTTAGTGGAAATCTTTAATTTTTATTTTTACTTAAAAATTTCCACCTTCTCCCCTCCTCCCATTTCCCTCCTCCTCCACACATATCCCTCCCCCTCCCTTCCATTTCAATTTCAAAGAGCAGTCAGGGTTCCCTGCCCTGTGGGAAGTCCAAGGTCCTCCTCCCTCCATTCGGGTCTAGGAAGGTGAGCATCCAAATAAACTAGGCTCCCACAAAGCCAGTACATGCAGTAGAATCAAAACCCAGTGCCACTGTCCTTGGCTTCTCAGTCAGCCCTCCTTGTCCGACACGTTCAGAGAGTCCGGTTTGATCACATGTTCCATCAGTCCCAGTCCAGCTTGCTTTGGTGAACACCCATTAGATCAGCTCCACCACGGAGCACTGGACTGGTGCCCAAGGTCCAAATGAGGAGGAAGGACATGAGCAAGGAAGTCAGGACCGCTAGGGGTGCGCCCACCCACTGAGACGGTGGGGCTGATCTAATAGGTCACCAATGCTTGTTTTCTTATAGAAGAAAGAAAAACATAGTGTGAATTTGTGTGGGTGGGAAGATGGGGATTATCTGGGAGGGGTTGAGGGAGGAGAAACTGTGATCAGAATACACTGAAAAATTATTTACAATCAAAAATGCATGGTATATATAGGACATAGACTAAAACATCAATTGTTCATGAAAGAAAAATCGCCATCTAAAAGTCCAAAAAAAGTATTATCATTGCCTACACAAAAACTATGCAGAGGCAACTGCTCTAACAATAGGTAAAGAAGGATGCTTTAAAAAAACATCCCACACTAGCTCAGAATTCAGAAATAGATGCTTATCTATTTAGGGGTAGACTCACTAATTAGAATTCTCTGCTTGAAATAAGAACAGCAAGCAAATCCCGCAGCCAGAAAAAGGGAGCAGAGGCATCCTCTACATTGGCTTATATTGGACTGGAGGCAACGCCCCAGTGGGCGGGGAACCACTGGCTATAGGACTTCCTACAGCAAATAGGAAATGGAATTCTCAGACTCACTATTTCTACATCCCGTTGAATACACAGATTTCATTGTACCATTTTTCATGTTTTTGCTTAATATCATCGAGGATGTGTTTCATTGAAGATCCCAACTCGACGATACTGGAAACCCCACTTTCATACTCACAAATGAAGCCAGCAGTGTGCATGGCTATCAGTGACCCTTTAGAATCGAATACAGGAGATCCCGAAGACCCACAATAAAAAGTGTTATCCCGGGTAACCACACCAGGTTCATGGACTTTTTCCTGGAAACTTCTTTGGGTGTACATATAGATATACTGCATAGGATCCCCGCTACCCACTGCTTCTCTTCCACGAATACCCTCACATTCCCTTCTTTGCTTGCCTTCAGGCATCACAGTACAACCATCAACAACCTTACATTTTCCATCTGGATGACCAATCATAAACAGAAATCCACTAAGTGATTCAGAAGGTGTTCCATTACCGAGTCCCGTAGAGATGTGCTGTCCTCTTTCCTTCAGTTTCAGGACAGCATAGTCAAGAGTGACATCAGACACCTCAAACCAAGGTTCAACAAAATGATAGCTGTCCTCTTTGACAGGGAACACTTGAAAATCAAACGTCACTCTTATACACTGCCCAATTATATCTGCCCACTTACTTGGCTCTATGCCTTCCCCTACTACGTCATCTATTACATGTCGGCAAGTGAAAATGTACAGCCCTTTAAAGAGGAAGCAAGTAGCACTACCCCTGTTTCCATTGTTGTTCCAAACTATGAACCCAACTGAGTCACTGAGCTGGGAAAGAAGTGTGAGGACTTTACCTGGGATGGAGCTTTGGGTCAGCTTCCTGAAGCTTTCTCTATGTGCTTTGAGTAAGGAAGTGTTCTCTCTTTTCTCACTCTCTTCCTTGATGTATGTTCTCAGCTCTTCCCGTTCTCTTTTTAACGTGGGGTACAAATTCACAATGTATTCTTTTAATATAGTGAAGTTTCCGTCCTCTAACTCAGACTTCTGAGTTGCCACTGCCTTCCGAGGGCTCTTCTTTCTCTCAACATCAATCTGAAAGAGCTTACCCTCTAACACATCAACTGGCTTGCTGTTTGCTACGATGGTGTCATTGTTAATGAGTTTCCAATGGTCACTCTCTACAAAGGAGCGAAACCTGCCATCCTTCCTCAGAGTGGTCTTGATGGTCTCTCCCTTGAAGCCATAGACACAGAGTTTGATGCCCTCCTCGTGAAGTTCCCTGCACCTCAAAATTCTTTGCTCCCCATTCCCGACTGCATGAATGTAAAATACAACACACTCAGCAGATGACTGGTCAAAGCGGCCACACACTTCGTTGTCTTCTTTCTTCTCACTTTCAGTTTTGGAAAATGTAATGACCACATGGCTGCCCCGTGGAAAACAACGAAGGGGCATACCGAGGTTTATGTACCCTTCTATTCCTTCTTTGCCACACACCAGCATTTCTTTGCCTGGCTGTTTTTCTATCTCTCTTTTGACAAGGTCAAGGGTGTTCAGTGCCTCATATAAGCTACCTGTCCCCTTATCTGCTACCTCACAGACTGCATGGCTTACACCAAAGGTGATGGTAATTGTTGTATTTTGGAAAGAGCTCTGAACTCGTGGAGCTTTTTGATCGCAGTGTGATCTTTGGTCCTGGTTTTTGATCACCTCCTTTGGTCTTTTTCTACATTCCATTTTCCTTTGAGAAATTATGGGATCATTCTGCTCCTTGGGGACCTAAAGAGAAATGATAAACACTTTAGAAAACTGTGACTACAATGGTATTCCTGTGATATTTTTGTACAGTATGTGCCACATTTTCTCAATAAGCGGGCAGAAAGAGCAGAACTCATCTAGATGTCTCAAATTCTACCAGTTCCAATAGAAAACATTTTGTTTATAATTTGTTTATTATTTTAAAAAAATAGATTAAAACTTTTAGACATGAAAATTGTTTAGAACTCTTTTGTAATTTCTTTGCACGTGCATGCACAGAACTGAGCGGAGAGTCTTACTGAATAACCGTGGCTACTGTGGACCTAGATCTGTAGCCCAGATTGGTCTCAAATCCACAATAGAAAGAACTGAGATACACTTTTGACTATTCACCAGAGACTCCTAAAAGCAACAAGAGTGTCTGTGAGAGTGCAGGCCTGAAGCATGCTGGGCCACTCATGTGGCGAGCAAAGGACAGTAGTGAGGAGCCAGTTCTCTTCACACATTCCAGGCATCTAAATCAGGTGCTTAGGTCTCTACTTCAGGTGCTCTCATTCCTTCAGCCATGGCAGAGACCATAGATACTTTATCCAAGGGTTCTGTTTTGAGTATTGAGACACTGTAGCCCAGACTGCCCTCAATGTATGATCCCCTTCCTTCTCTATTCAGACTTCTGAGATTACAGGCATGTGCCATCATGCCTGGCCTGATACTTAAGAAAGAGAACAAGGGATTGTGCATGTGGTTATTAGCTTGTTTATAAGCACAAAGCTAGGGGTTGGGGGCGGCGGAAACAGATTTAACCTTTTCGTGGATATCTAGGTGTTTGGATCTTCTAGTTTCCTAGAACATGGAATAATGAAAACGAGCGGATGCCTTTGAAGGAGCATCTCAAATGTCTGACCCTTCTCACCCTTCTTGGCCAGTTCAGAGAGCCCTGTACAGCCACGATACTCAGTCTGGAGAGCACCTCAGGGAGCCTACACATGAAGCAGAGATTCTGGAAGCAAATCTTTCTCACAAGCCTATCAGGGTTATAGTAAGCATAAATGACAGAGTCATTTCAGAAACTACGAAGTACTATACAGGTAAACATGCTTAGGATTAAGTCACACTCAGAAAGAAGCTTCCACGCCAGGGAACAACACCCATTTGCTTTCCCCCTGTTTAATCGTACGCAATGTATTTTATCTTTTTCCTCCCTTATTCCTCCAGGCAGTATTATTTTTCAATTAAGAGTATTTTGAGGGGGACTTGATTGGGGGAGGGGGAGAAAAAGGGGAGGCGGCTGGGGGGAAGAGTCAGAAATCTTTAATAAATAAATAAATAAATGAATAAATAAAAAGAGTATTTTGATATGGACTTCATGTGTTTTATAATTCCTTTTCCCAGTGCCATTCGCCAAGCTACACAGAAGCAAGTGGACAGGAAACAGAGTGTGTAATACTCCCAATTCACAGTCAGATAGTTTCTTGGCAGGAAGAACTTTGTGACTGAGGAACAAGGATTGCTAAATCTGCTATGAATGTGCAGTATTTACAGACATACCTTAGAAAAGTAGCGCAGGATTTCCATGCTTTTTCTTTGCATGAACTAGGATGTTCTGTGAGGTATGCCTCTAACACCCGATGGACTAGACCTGAAACAGATAACCCAGATGAATTGCTAATTTCAAAATGGTTTCAAGCCATATCAGTATCATCATAGGTGATGTATAGAGGGGAATATTTTCTGAGGTCCCACATCACACCTTCCCCCTCTGTTCAGTCTTGCTTCTCACAGGGTGATCACTTCATAGCCAAGAGTTTATCTATCCAGCAGAGTCACCCCAGAAATCAAATCAAGGTATCCGCGTGTCAGGAACCAGAGCAGACACAGCATCAACTACATCTAACTGCTAACCCCCACCGCTGCCATGGACAGCAGGTTCTAGCTAGAATTTGGAGGAGTGGGTATGTCTTTGGCAAGGATGGTAATGTGCTCACTGCTTGAAGCAAAGAGACAAACCAAGAGTAGACATTAATTCCAACAGAGGATTGCCGTCGGAGAACTCAAAAGAGTGTTTTAATTCACACTGATGCTAAAATCTGGTCTTCATTTAGAGTGGATATGGGAGATGGTTAAAATACAGGGGGACAGGTGGGAAGAAAATGGGTAGGAAGTACCCTGAGAACAAAAGAAATATAGAAGGACCGATGGAAAAGAAATCTTGAAAGTGATCCAAGATGATACTCAGGACACATAATTTCTACTTTAGAGTTTACGTGTTTGCTTTAATGGTGGGGCTGTTGTTTGTTTGTCATTTTGGTTTTTGGAGTATGTGTATAGGTGCGTGTGTGTGTGTGTGTGTGTGTGTGTGTGTGTGTGTTTGTGTGTGAGAGTGAAGAAGTGTGTACTTATATCTACCTTTCCATGTGCTGTCTCTAAAAAGCAAAGGAATGTTTTAACAAAATAACTCTTTCAAGCACTAGAAATTGGTATTGTTGGCCTTATTTCACCCATGAAGAACATGAAATTCCAAAGGAGTTAAACTTTCTCTCAGGACAGAAACTCGAAAGAATACACTTTGGAGAGCTCCGCTGTGAATGTTTTCAAATATAAACGGAAAGAGCAGAAAGAGCAAGAGACAGAGGAAACAAAGAGACAGAGGAAAGAACAGGTCACCGTGAATTTCCAAATATCACACCCATCATTAATAATTGTTCTTGTTTTCTTCTTCCTCAGAAAATGTCTCCTGTAGCTAAGGCTGGCCTTGAAAACTGAACTTCTCATTTTGTCTCCTCCGAGTGCTAGCACCTCAGTTATGTGCTGCCAAGTCAGGTGTGTGTGATGCTTAGAATCCAACCCAAGGCTTCATGCAAGCTGGGCAAGAAGTCTACCAAGGGAACGACCTCCGAGACCCACACTGCCTTTTAATTGTATTAGATTACACTTAGAAGCACTGTGACATTTTAACCCTGTATCACTTTCCATCTCTAAGAGTTCAGGAATATTTCCTCATAATAACAATGCCAGTTTATTCACATTAAATATGAACACAGTTGTGGCACACATATCACCTTTCCAATTTTTTTGATTTGTTTTGTTTTGGTTTTCGAGACACGGTTTCTCTGGCTTCAAATTTTGTAAGACAAGGGTTCCTGTGCTGTCTGGGATGGCCTCGGATAATTTTTTAAAAAACAAACATCCAAATGTTTCAAAATCTGATAATATAAGAATTTATTAAAAGGTACCATTACCTATAAAAATAAAATTAAGAATTTTTGAAAAGCAATGAAACACACTGAAAATCTATCCCAATAATGCTTTCCTCACCTTTGCAGACAGCACCTGTCCAGAAGGCTGAAGAAACAGAGAAACGCAAGGTTCTCGCTGGAGGTTGATAATGTCCAACGTGGCCTCCAGAAACCTGTTGATAAAACCAAGCTAAACTTACCGCTATTGAGGCAATAGTTACTTAACAAATGTTTGTTCATGCTAAAGGAGAAGAGCCAGGTTGAGGAAAGGCAAATGGATCTGGTTTTCTAAACTCTGGTCTGACTCAGGCTGTAATGTGGAGGTCAGGGTATTCGTAACAGATCAGGATTGGCTGAGTATACCAAACCCAGGTATTTGGGACCAGAGCTACAAATAAATACCTTTGATATTTTCCTTGAGAAAGCTACTGAAATAAAAGAACATCCCTGCCTTGGTGCATTTATGGTGATGGAAACGGATAACATGGCTAACTCAGAGTCAGGTTAACTGGGGCATAGGAAGCCAGCACACGTGGCTCCACCACCGGAGCACGCTGAACCTCTGAGAGAGGAAGTCAGTCTCTGTCGTTACTCCCTACATTTTTATGCTGGTGAGAAGCACAGACAGGAAACCACATTCAGGTCTGTTTGCAGCACACAATCAGACGCGGCTTAGTTCATTTAAGGAGGCATTTTCAGAAAAAGAGCAGTGGCTACTACAGACACCAGTTTTTTAAACTAGAGGTATTCTTTTTTTTTTTTTTTGAGCATTGAAAAACAAAAACAGAAACGTTAAATTCTTTCTTTTTGTTCTTTTACTCTCCCAACAACTGCAGACACCACCCAAATGGAACCAAGCTCACTCTCCTTCCAACCCTTTGTCATCTAAAAATGCGTGCGGTTTTTCTACATCAATCCACTGCCTGCAAGTCCTGCCAGTCTTCAGGTCGAACCGGAAGCGAGGGGTAAGCCCTCACAAGAGCTGATCTCCTTACAAACTCACCTACCTCTTGCTCTTCTGTCGCGGCAGAATGTTTTTTGCCAGTCACGGAAATGGCTCTCTGCCAGAAAAAAGTGCGCCTAAAAAACTTACCCAAGGGTCTTGGATTGGTCTTTTACAGAGTTAGCAGCTTGTGACGCAAACACAGCCTCCCCGGAGCCAATCACCAGCCAGTCTGAAAGGATTGGCGTCAGTTTTACTTCTCAGGTTTCTTTTGGGGGGCGGGGGGTGGGGGTTTAGAATTGTCACAAACTGGGACAGGACTCTAATAGATCTGACTGGGCAGGGCTTGAAAACGCGGTAAAAAACCTGAGCTGGGCCCTTGGGAACCACCTACTTCGGGGTGGAGGTTAGAAGCTGAGCCCTGACTCACCATTAGGGCTAGGGCAGAGAAGCACAGACTCTGGGTTCTGCATTGCCATTTGCTACCGCTGAGGCAGGGGCTCCACTGAGGGTCACCGAAGGCGTGGGGAGATGAGAGTTAGGAAAACTCGGGTGGTTTCCTAGGAGGCAACAATTCCAACAAGGGCAAGGTGACGGACCAAATGCCCTTGTCACGAATCGATGAATTTTCAAAACGTACATTAGTTTATGTAGCTCTTTCTTGTAGTTGTTCCAAAGAGTATAGTAATTTTTTGTCTTTTTTTGTCTGTAAATATGTGTGTTTATTAACATGATTTTTTTCAGATTGCTTAATCAGGTTATTGAACTCTCTTTTGAATCATAAAAATAGGTATTAAAATTTCATCAAAACTATAAACTATTTGGATAATGAGTCTTTTTTTGATTGGAGAGGGAGGGGGAGGGAAATGGGAGGTGGGAATTTTTAATAATAAAAAATTTAAAAAGAGTATAGTAATTTTTAAAATTAAACGCTTCTTTAATATAGATGAAATTGTTTAACAACTGCATTTCCCATATCCATCTACCAAAAAACAGGAAGAATAAAAGTGTTCGAGAATATTTCAGTGTATCTAATATTCCCAAAATGCAAGAAGGCAGTGTCTGAGCAAGAAGAACTATGTGACTCAGAACACAGAATGACCGAGTCTACTGTGGTTATAAGTGTCAAAGTATTTATAGACACACCTCAAGAAAATATTGTGTCAAATTCTTACCAGAAATTATCTCTGATTGCTAACTTCCACAGCTGCCATGGGAAGCAGGTCCTAGGTTGGTTTTGTCTTAAGTGAAAGGATTTCTGACTAAGGAGCTGATGTGCCCAAGCCCTCTCAACAAGGCCTGGGATAGAACATCAGTTACAGAATTGTCATGGAATTAATAATAATCTCTTTAAGAATACATAATCCACAAATGAGTAGAGTAGGTATATGCTATGCTACGCCGTGTTTTAAGTGCTTTTCATATAAATATCCTCACATAGTTTGTTCAGTCCTAAAAGATGGTAACAAAAATCCTCCTTTACCCACTAAGTGCTGGGAATTCTAAAGAGGTTAAACTCTTACTCACGGCCACACAACTCCAGAGAGTACACTTGAGAGAGCTTCCGTTAAGAAGACTTTCTGGTAGAGATGAAAATATGGAAGGGGGAGAGGAAATGGGGAGGAAGAGGAAGAGGGGCCTTGGTCCTTAAATTTCTGGTCCTCTTACCTGTCATCCCAGCTGCCTGGATTAAAGGCATGTGCCACCACATTAGTGTCACACAGCATAGGTGATCAAACCCTGGGCTTCGTGAAGAAGGGTGAGCACTGTACCAGCTGAGCCACATCTCCAGTCCTGTGCTATCTGTTTACTTTGCTAGATTACAGATACAGACATCATGACTTTTAACCTTAAGACTTTCCGTCTCCAAAAGAAGGGACTTTTGTCATACTAACAAAGTGCAATCGAGTCACATCAACATGTTAGTACTGACAGAGAAGCAAGCTGCCTTCCCAGTGAGAAACCACCCCCTGTAGTTAGGGATTAATGAAGGCAAATCTCTTGAATGGTGCTGATCTGGCTCTGGCTACTGCTCAAAGAAGAGCCGGCCTGGAATAGAAGATTCTATTAACTATGTACACCTGAGGCTTATGCATCCCACATACACTGTCATCCTTAAATCTCTCAGGTCCCCATGTCAAGCCAGACCTTAACACATTAAACAGAGTAAGGAGACTGCAAGTCTGGCCACTTTTAGGCAATTGGGAGATTTTTACTGCGAAGACATTGCCACAGTAATTTCTTAAGGGCACCAGTTCTGATTTTTTGTTCTGCTTCTTCTATTTTTGTTTATTGTTTGGTTGTTTTAATAATGTTTTTTTCTAGGTTCATCTTCCTCACAAGGCAGAATTACACGCCTTTTGATGAGAGCACAGGGGGCTTAAAGGCACCAGGACTTGTTTTCCCTTGAGAGGCCCCTTAGAGGCATGTCCTTTGATATGGGGATGGGCCTAATGGCCTATGGAAGTCAGGATTGTCTCCTTTTGTCATGAGAATAGAGCCTAATTGGAGGTCAATCTTGGTGAATAAACATTAGCAGAAACTTTCTCAGCAAACGCAATTTCAACTGTGGTACAGAATTTTCTTTCTCACGGTTTCTAACGTTGTGGTGAGCACACTACTTGCCTTTCAGTTATTTACATTGGAGGCAGTGCTCCTTTAGCTGAACTCTACTTTGTATAACTTACTATTCCTAAGCAAGTTTATTAATAAGTTTTTCTTTTTATTTAGGTCTTTATTTATGTTTTTATTTATTTAGTTAGTTAGTTTTTATATCCTGACCGCAGTTTCCCCTCCTTCCTCTCCTTTCAACCCTTCCCTAACACTGGACCTATGTCCACTCCTCCTCTTTCTCTTTAGCTAAGGGCTGGCCTTTCTGGGATATCAGCCAGCCAAGTTATGTCAAGTTGACTGAGAATAGGCACTGTCTCTCCTAGGAAGACCGGATAAGGCAACCCTCTAGTTGGAAAGGTTCCCAATGTAGGCAACAGAGTCAGAGATAGCCCCTGTGTCCACTGTTAGAAGAAGGCCCACAAGTAGACCAAGCTACACAATTGAATCATATATGCAGAGGGTCTAGGTCAGTCCCATGCAGGCTCCCTGCTTGGCAGTTCAGGCTCTGTGAGGCCCCTGTGAGCCCAGGTGAGTTGATTCTGTGGGTTTTCTTGTTGTTTCCTTGATCCCTCTGATTCCTACAATCCTTTTCTCCCCTCTTCTTCAGAATTCTCCAAACTCTGCCTGATGTTTGGCTGTGGGTCTCTGCATCTATTTCCAACTGTTGCTGGGTGAGGACTCTGGTACCAGATGGACTAGGCACAAGTCTTTGAGTATAGCAGAATATCATTAGGAATCATTTAATTGACTTTTTTTTTCTTTTTTGCCAGTCATGTTTGGTTCTATTCTAGGTCTCTGAGCTGGCTATTCAGCCTATGGGTCCTGTCCCTCCAGAAGTGTCAGGGGTGGGCTCCTTCTCATGGTATGGGTTTTTAGCTGAACCAGTTATTGGTTGACCCTTCCCACAATTTCTGTGCCACTTTTACTCCAGCACAGCTGGTAGGAAGGACAATTGTTAGACTGAAGGTTTTGTTTCTGGGTTGCTGTCAAAAATCCCTACACTGGAAGTTCTGTCTAGTGACAGGCTGATGGCTGGTTCAGGCTCTGTATCCCCCATTGCTAGGAGTCTTAGCTAGGGTCACCCTCGTAGATTCCTGGGCATTCCCATTGCACTAGGTTTCTAGCTTGCCCCGGAGAAGTCCTTCACACACCCAAGTTCCAGTTGTCTTTCCAGTATCCTCCCTTTATCTTACACCACCTGGACCCTCCTGTTTCCACTCCCACCTCACGCCAATTCAGAGCATTCCCCCTGTCCACTGGCAATGTCTATTCCATTGTCTTCACAGTGAGATTCATGTACCCCCCCCCCTTGCCCCCAAACCCTCCTTGGTGCTTAGCTTCTCTGGGTCTGTTGATTGTAAAATGTTCATCTTTTATCTTACAGCAAATGTGCATTTATAAGTGAATACCTGCCATGTGTTTGTTTGTCTTCTGGGTCTGGGTTATCTCACTCAGGATGATCTTTTCTACTTCTATCCATTTGCCAGCAAATTTCACGATGCCATTGCTTTTAACAGATGAGTGATACCCCATTATGTAAATGTATCACATTTCCTTCATCCATTCTTTATTTGAGGGACATCAAGATTGTCAAGAATACGAATATAGCTACTAGGGACGTAGTTGGGCAATGGTCTTTGTGGTAAGGTGGAGCGTCCTTTGGATATATACCCAGGAATGGTATATATCCATATCTGAGAAACTGCCATATGGATTTCCAAAGTGACTGTACAAGTTTGTACTCCCACCAGCAATGCAAGAATGCTCCCCTTGCTCCACACTCTTGCCAGCATGAGTAGTCACTTGTGCTTTTGAACTTAGCCATTCTGACAGGTGTGAGATGGAATGTCAGTGTCACTTTGATGTCCATCTCCCTGATGATGGCTAAGGATGTCGAACATTTCTTTCAGTGGATCTGAGCCATTTGAGATTCCTGTTGAGAACTCCCTGTTTAGATCTGTATCCCATCTTTTAACTGGTTTGCTTGGATTTTTGAAGTCTCCTTTCTTTTGTTATTTATATATTTTGGAGATCGGACCTCTGTCAGATGTACAAATTGGTGAAGATCTTTTCACATTCTGTAGGTCCTTTTGATAGTGTCCTTTGCCTTACAGAAACTTTTCACTTTCATGAGGTCCCATTTATTAATTGTTGATCTTGGTGCCCACGCTATCAATGTTCTGTTCAGGAAGCTGTCTTCTGTGCCAGTGCATTCAAGTTTATTCCTCATTTTCTCTCCTATCAGGTTCAGTGCATCCTGTTTTATGTTGAAGTCTTTGATTCACTTGGACTTGGGTTTTGTGTATGATGATAGATATGATACTTGGTGTATTCTTCTACTTGCCAACTTCCAGTTATACCAGCACCATTTGTTGAAGATACTTTTTTTTAACTGTTTAATTTTAGCTTCTTTGTCAAAAATCAAGTGTCTATAGGTGCATGAATTTACAAACCTGTGTTGGATTTTGTCAAAGGTTTTCTAACATCTAAGAAGATGATAATGTGTGTGTTTTTTTTTTAGTTTGTTTG